GATAAGTGTAGAAGAAGAGTCGAGCGCCGGAACACTGTTTATTGTCCTGAGCTCTTTAAACGAATCCAAACTCATTGCAGCAAACCGTAGGACAGAGCACGTCAGGCCCGTTATCTCCGCGAGCAGTTTGTGCAAAATGGCTATCCGAGGGCATTTATAAGTCGTTGCCTAAGCGGTCGCCACCAGAGAAGTCGAACATCAATGCCACCGACGATATGGCATTCTCTGCCATACATCAAGCGCATTTGAGAAGCGGCCGAGCACATTGCTGCGGAGCTAGGTGTTGGAATTACCCACCGTCCAAAAGCCACCATGCGCAATAGGGTCATGAAAATCAAAGATCAGTTAATGCCTGATGAGCAATCTGGAGTAGTGTATCGCATTCTGTGTCAAAATTGTCCGTGTAACTACACAGGACGGACTGGACGAACGCTCGGATTGCGCATACACGAACATAAGCTGGCTGTGCGACGAGGCGACGCATTATCGCAAGTGGCCGCCCACACCTACGAAATGGGTCACGAGTTTAACTTCGCAGCCACCAAAATAGTTGCCGACACCGGAAACAAAATAGGCCGAGAATTGATTGAACCCTGTGCCTCAGGTGAGAACTCGGTCAATCGGTTTATCCATCTAGCGACGGCGTACAGAGTCCTGCGTAATCACCTCCAGTCTTGTGCCGTCGGTTGATGATTGGCCTACATGCCTTAAAATTTTTGCTTGTTCTGTCGCTGCTACTACCTCTGACGATGGATTCCTCTGCGAGTCTGAAAGCCCCGAACAAGAAGCAGAGTGTTCCGATGCTCGACTCTTATTCAATTATTAACCAGAGTCATTAAGCGCTTTTACTGTCTGTCAGAGGTTGGTCTAGGAAACGCTTGGTTCACGACGTTGTGCATTCAGTAGGGTAAATCCCCTGTATGACTACCTTCAAACTGTTTGCAGACCGTAGCAGACAGGAGACATTTGGAAGAGTGGAGGAAGCCAGGCATAAAAGTGATGCCTGGACCTCATTCTGACAGGATAATCAAGTGGGCAATACTGGGAGTTTCGCAACGGGGCAAAGGGGCTAGTAGGGTTACAAAAGTATGCTCAAACTAGGAAACTTTCTTCTTCCGAAAACCGAACTACTCTCTTTCACACAGTAAACTGAACGCTTCGCCTATGTTAATTAATGGCCCAAGCAATGTTACAATAATCCTCACGTTCTTCAAGAAGAGGGATAGAAATGTGCTCTTGCTGTTGGACTTCGTAATTAAGGAAGAAGCATGTTTATGTGTGTTTGGGTCGTCACATGTGGGATATTTTGACAGAAGGTTAAAGGTTGACGCTATTTGTGTCTGAGTAAAATATATTAATGAAATATAAACCTAACAACTTACAACGTATGTCTAAAATACGCAAGACACACATCGGATAAACGGCCATCAAATTTTCAGGATTCTTGCAAATTTTGACGCCATTTAGTGCGCATCGTGCGGGAAGGACTGAAAAGTTATGTACTTGAAACCGACCACCCATAATTAAAAACGGTAAAGATAGAAGAAACCATCGCCAGTATTTCTTAATGACGTGCTTTACAACGCAGGTCCTTAAAACAAGTAAACTTGCAGTAATGCACTAGCAAACCCGAAAATATTATCATTTTAGCGAGACGTTTCTGTATATGACGACTGTGCTGGGTTGCATGAATCATATTGCCCACCCGTTGTAGAGGTCTTCGTGGTTAAATTCTTTGATAATTATCCAGCGCACGTGAATAAAACCAGTTTTATTGATGCTTTCAGGAAATTTATTTATGTAAATGACCAGTACCATATTCAGGATCATTTATATTATTCCTAAGGGTGTTTATGAAATTCTCAGAAGTCTCGACCGGTAGCTGTCAAAGACTCAAAATAAAAGATACTGCAAAGAGGGAGGAGCGGATGGCGGATGTTAAAAACCACTCTTACATTCAAATTAAATTATTGTATTTAACGGACACAGTCGGTAAGTGTCAATATGTTTGGAGTTAACGACAGAAGCCCTGAAAACTCCCTTTAAACGGTACTGGTGTGAGGGAAAACAGGTAACTTACAAAAAGTTGCATGCAGTTTTGGTGTGCAGAATGCGTAAATCTAGTAGTGGAACATCAATGCGAAAAAGGTACGGCATTTTCGGAATAACTGCAAAGAAATTGATCACTGTATTTTCATATAGACCAATTGTTGGCTGACCTTTCATTCACTCGAAACCAAGGTTGTATGGCGTTTTATCGCACAGGCCTGTAATCCCATCCTCACAGCCAACTACGGCTACTGTACTCTCTTTCTGGAAATGAGATTACGACGTCAATTTTCACAGGTCGTTACGGTGACAAACTTCCTGAATTCAAACTCACCACTGACTGCCAGTAATATTGCCTTCATGATTGAGGAAATACCACATCCATCGATATATTTTCTTTTTTTCGGAAGCCAAACTCACCTAGCTGCCCGAGACTTCCATTCCAGGGTGACCATTTCGGCTGCTCTTTCCCATCTATCTTGCATATTTAGTGCAATATTTACAAGCTAAACGAGTCCTGACGACGGAAGTCAGATGTCGCTGTCGTAAACCGATGCCGTTGCGGATATTGCGTCAGCACACAGACGGGTTTGCCTTCAGGTACACTAAAATATTAATATAATGTAACAAATGTGGTACCAAAAGGGCACTGAGAACTGGTTCGGTTTTTAAGGATAGTCGCCTGACTTTATCGAAGATCCCATGTGGCTCAGGCCTATCCAGTCTCAGAAGAGCACTCGGAAACCGAGATATTTAGCAGCTGACCAGAAAGGTAAGCAGTGAGATGTTTATGATGTTTTACACATAGTTCAGTATCAGTATCAGTATATTTCAGGGAAAGTAGGTGTGTACCTTTGAAATCCCTATTGGTTACATGCAGAGGATATATATATGTAGGAAATGGAAAGGAAGTAACATGAAAGAAATGCGCGGGGAATAGCAAAAACTGTACAGATAAACACAGAATGTCATGCGTTAACAGAATTTAGGGTCACATTAACTTGCTTTGTTGATAAAATACAGCGGACAGTTGAGACACACTTAAGATACGGGAAAAGAAGGAAAATTGCTTGGTCTACAGGCATCGTGGTGAATGCGAGCAGCGGTGTGCGACGTGCCCCAAGTTTAATAAATTACATAAACATATATTACTTAAATGTGACCACTGCCCAGATACAAGTTTCGTTGCTCGCCGTTGAACTTTTTTGAGTATGCCCAAGTCTTTAGCGTTCCAGGGTCGCCATGCTTGGATAGCAAACTCCAGATGCGGTCGCACAAAAGTTTGAAAGACCTTGGCGAAGCAGTCTTCATCAAAGGAGGAGAACGCCCGTTTGACAAGGTATAGCATGGACATCGCCGACTTGGCCACCTTTGAACATTGCAGCGAAGGCTTAAGCGAGGTTGTGATCCTTACACCCAAGTCCTTCTGGGCGTCGACTTCTTGCAGTGGTTTGCCAGTCAGACGGTAGACCGTGTGGTTAGGGGAACTGGTTCTGCCGACGCGTAGGAAAGTACACTTTGTTTACGTTAAACGATAGAAGCCAGTCTTTCGACCATTGCTCGAGGTGGTCCAGATTTGTCTGCAGTCGCGCCTCGTCAACTTCGCTTCGTATGGTACTCCAGATCTTTATGTAATCGGCAAACATTGCGACATCGCAATTCAGTTCGTTTGCGCAGTCATTGACGTATACGAGGAACAGTGTAGGGCCAAGAACAGAGCCTTGGGGAACACCACTCTTAACGGCAACCTCGGCAGATTGTTGGTCACCGACGTGGACGGCTTGCGAGCGGCCGATTAAAAAGCTACGAATCCACATCAGAAGCTTACCTCGCACTCCTGCACGGCTAAGTTTATATAGAAGGCGGTGGTGAGGCACACAATCGAAGGCCTTTTTAAAGTCGATATAGATGGCATGCACCATATCTCCTGTATCAACAGCCCTAGTCCAGTGTTCCAGACAGTAGAGCAGGTTTGTCACACAGGATCTGCCTTTTCGGAATCCATGCTGAGAATCGAAAAGCAAATGGGTTTGTTCAAGGAACAGCATTAGTTGTTGCTTTATTATCTTCTCCATAATCTTACAGCAAATGGAGGTGAGGCTGACCGGTCTGTAATTGTTCGCAGAGACCCGACTTCCACCCTTGTACAGCGGCGTAATCCACGCCGACTTCCAGTCGGGTGGCAGATATCCGGTCTCAAAGGATGTATGGAAAAGCATGGGGAGTGGCTTAGACAACTCACCGGCGAGTTCCTTCAAAATCTTCGCCGGAATCTCATCGGGACCTGGTGATTTGGATTCTTTTAGCCTCAGCAACTCCGTCAGAACCATACCCTCAGTGAACTGGACGGTCTCTATAATTCGGGTGTCTTCGAAGGATTGAGGGGCCGAAGGGTTGAATCCTGTTTCGCTACTAAAAACAGACCGAAGAAATTCTGAAAGGTGACCAGCTTTCGCCCTCTCGTCAGTGAGATGTTCGCCTTCAGCAGTCCTTAGCAGGGGTATTGGGTCCTTGTTCCGCGTGCACTGCCTAATGTAACCGTAGAGTAATTTAGGGTTCTCCGCGGCACGGTTAAGCAGATCCCGTTCGAATTCCTTTCTAGTTTTGAGGATGAGACCCTTGACTCGATTTCTTTGAATTTTTTACGCGCATATAGATGTGGGGCTCCTGTCAGAAAGCGATTTTTTCCACAGCCATAGTTTTTTATTCACTTCATTCTTCAAGGCTTGCGTAAGCCATCGAGGTCTGTTAGTTAACCTCTTCCGTGAAAGCGGACAGTGGTTTACGATCAGCTCGTGCAGGATTTCTCGGAACCGTTGCCAGTCTTCGAGTATGCTCCCAACAAATATGAACTCCCACTCAATGCGTGAAATTTCAGCCCTCATTTGGTCGAAATACCCGCGCCAAAGGTTTCTTCTAACTGTCTCGGGTTGCTTGAGCATGGAAAAAAGCTAGTAATCCCATAGAAGAACGACGTGGTCACTTTTACCTGAGGGGGGTAGGCATGACACCTCATCAATGCTGTCCTGTGACTTCGTAAGGACAAGATCATGGCAGTTGGCTTGTTGGCCTTCGCGTACTCTAGTTGGTAACATGACGTGTTGAGTGAGAAATAGCTTCAGTGCCGTGTTCAGAAAACTCCTATCGAAGGTCTGTTCCGAGCTATTTGCACGGGTTGAGCTCCAGTCAATATGGGGCGCGTTAAAGTCGCCCATGACTAGGGTATCCGGCCGCGTAGCGAACTTTTCGAGCTCCTCCAGCAGGCGAGTGTAGGCCATGTTGTCCCGTCTCGGCGGTCGATAAACTGTCAGGACATCGAGGCTAGGCGAGCTCGGCACTTTATTAGACAACCAGATTGCCTCGGAACTGCACGAAAAGTTATCGGTCTTGTCTGATACATTTAGCCCATTTTTTACATACGTGAGTACGCCTCCTCCCTGACGCCCTTCCATATCCCTTCTAAACATCTGGTAGCCAGGCAAGGCCAGCTCACGGTCGTTCACGTGTTGGGTCAACCAGGTTTCTGTTAGAGAGATTACGTCAGGGGATAGGTCGCAGAGGTGGATCTTCAGCTCGTCGAACTTTGATAGCAAACTCTGCACGTTGGTGTACAAGAATTTCAATTTCCGGCTGAAGGAAGATGTGGTTACATTTGGGTTAGCGCCTTCACTTAATATGTCGGCTGCGCAGTCATTCGGACAGGACCTGTCCAGAGGAAGAGTGACGGACGCCGCCGTACTTGGTTGTTGTATATTTCTAAATTGTTCAATAATAGCAGCCAGTGGAATAACAGCCAGAGAGAACAACTGAACGGCCAGGCAATTTACATTTTGGCCATTGAAATCTGGTACAACGGAAACAGTTTGTAATTCTTTCATACTCCGCACTGAAATAGTGAATTCCTTACTAGCAACCGGGTTTAACGTCTGTACGGCTTAGCCATGAATGGCTAGTGCAGCCCCTGAAGTATGTAGAAAAGACAGGTGCACTGACGGGGCAGACCGGCACCGATTAAGTGCACCCAACGCCTACGCGCCTAGCCAACTCACGCGGTAGCCGCATGGAACGCGGTATGGGAGTCCCCCCCCCTGCGATCGAATACAACCGGACTGTTTTTTAAAAGGGAGGAAGGTGAAGGGTAGCGATCTGTTAACAAGATTGAAGCAGCTCGCAATTAGAAGGATAATGGAAAGCGTGTTGAATTGCAATCCGCAAAGGTTAAGTCTTTCGCCTTTTACTAAAGATTTTCGTGTGGGGGGTGCAATGCAATGAGCCCATATAGACAGTTTTGCAGCGCCTCGTTCTCGGGGCGGTTAAAGTGAAGGAGAAATTCATCCTGACAGAGCCTCTACGCCAAATTAAGCAAACATAGCTGGCGTACCCAGTCGTAGTAATGTAGCAAGCGCGCTAAGTGGCCGATGAGAAGAAATGTGAACGTGAGCAATAACATGAAGGAATTTACAGCATAACCGCCCTGCGGGAGGTATGGCAATGGCAACACAGCAGCAGACGAGGTATACCAAAGCGAGGTCGAATACATTACACCCCACGCGGCCGACACGCCTGAAATATGTAACTTAATAAATGCACGCCTAATGATAGGAAGCAAGTACGCCAACAATGTTGACTCATAATCCCAGGCTACTCGGAATAGTCTCGCCGCAATCACGCTTACCATATTCAACACAGTTGCCCATACTTGCGATGTGGTTTAATGCATCCAGGCCAGAGGTCTTCCAGGCTTTTCTTTTTCCATTATCCGCGCGTACGACTGCCGTCAAACTTAAGTAAAACGTATATTGTAACTCGGTATTATAATTCAGGCCGGTGGTCTTCGAGCTTTTACGTGAACATGGTTTAAAAGTCCACAATTAGCGGTGGGCGCACCAGTGACGGCTGCATTCTGCTGAAAAATGACAGCATTCTGTGGAGTTAACCAATCCAAAGTTTTTGGAACTTCGCTGACACTCTATTCTGCAGGTCCATCTTCTCCAAAATCTATACGATCCGAACATGTCATCAGACTTCTGTTACCACACAAGACCCTCACAAGATGGCCATCATCACTTATTTGAATATCTTCGGATTGTTGCAAGTGTAAACGACCTTCGTCCTCAGCCACACGCCTGGAAACGGTTTTCAAACCAAACCATACAGGGAATCCGTTTTTGCCACAGTTGTATTGGTAACATCGCAGTGACCTGTACCGAAACCTAGACAAACCATGAATGTCTCGCCCTAGTGCTTAGCATGTAACAGGATGTAGGCGTCATAATCGACAGCTCCAAGTGCGCCGCCGTCCCGTCTATCTTGGACTGTCTGGTTGGATCTACCGGCGTCCCTCTGTTACGCGGAAAGTGGAGGCATACCGAGTGCAGGCTAAAGTGGTTAGGCCATATAGCAAGATTCTGCCGTCGATTCCTCCCACAAATACGGTTATACAATACATCCGACCACAAGCACTGTTTCCAATCAACAGCACAGTGGGCAATCTTACTATGCGTCCTCATTCCGTTTAACGGGGTCATGCAGGCCGTGGATTAGTCGACAGCCTACTCACCTACTCCCAGACGCACAATTCATCTTCCAGGTCGATGTCATAAAGGTTTCTGATGGACACTATTATCGCAGCATCTCGCAGGTTCAGTTAACTTCTTACCTATTTCGTCTCCAGAAAGCTCTTCCTACATAAGATTTTGTACATTACGTTTGGACGTAAAATGTTCAACTTTTAGATCTCATTTAAGCATCTTCGGAGCTTCCTGGAGTACGGGGTTTTTATAATCTTCAGACAGTACAAACGCCTTAGCTTTGTCATGTTGTCCTCCATTAAAATGACTGGCTCCTGGTTAATCCATCACTTTGAATTTATCACATGAGACATCAAAATTTCTGCGGAATGCAGAATGAAGTGATCGGCAGGTTGTCCAAACCATCCATATATTTCCTTCACATGACTCCCATGATCTATCTCAAAGTTATGGCAGTCGATCAATATTATGTCGGTTCCTCCACTGACGAGATACATCCAGATACGAACCACGCAGTCACCCTCTCGCCACCGGTGGTGTTACCGTTCTCCGCGACGCCGTCACCGCTCACCCCCACACACCGATCGGTCGCTCCTTTCTAGTGGAACTTGTTCTGCTATGGGAGTTGGATACAGAGACTTGGTTATAGACAGAGTTGCATGCATAAAAAATGGAAAGTTTAAATGCCAGTCTTTCTTTTGTTTCTCGCTTTAAGCAATATGACGCATTCAGGTGAGAAGAGTGTTCAAGCAGACAAACTCATTAAGAAAGGTGGTGTCTGACAACAATGATCTGGGGATAGAACCAAATTAGTTTGATTTCAGTGATGTTTACGTGGTCTGCATTTTCCATTTAATCCTCCTTTGAGACCTTCCTGAGATTAACGTTTCCAACTCCTTCTCTGATCTGCTCTACTTAATTTGAAACTGCCATTGCGGCGAGACCTTCCTTGTACTTTTAAACCAGACTGGAAGAAGGTAGTGAAGTCTAGACTCGCCCGTCCCACCGTGTCCAACGAAGGCCGTTGTGAAGCACTCGGGCACTCGTTCTGCTCCCCCATCTCGTTCATGGCGGGACCTCCTGCGGAAAGACCTATCTTCCGTAGCAAGTCCAAAATATACTGGTGTCTATAATTAAAAATTTTAGGTACAAGTAACCAACAAAGAAACTTAATAAGGTGGGGGAGAGAGGAGTTCGATTTTGAGACAGCAACGCGATCTGTCAGAGGCCAGGTTTGAGTGAAAATGAAGAATTCTAAGAAACACCGCCACATCCTACCTTGGAAGCAGTTATCCTGGTTTCTTGGGTCAATTGTTTTCTATTTAGAGGGTCAAAAGCAGGCTTAAATTTGATTTAGCCTTTGCTTTAACGGCAACAATACCTATACACGACGTCGCCCGTAGGACTTTTCGATATAATCCAAATCAAATATGTGCTATTAACTGTGCTATTAAGGGGTGAAGTAAGCAAGGCCTCCCCTAGCCCAGAAATTAGCTTCTTTTCTCACTTTCTGTGTACATACACATGAGAAGAAAAGGCGATCTCGGGAACCATTGTTTTACTGTCCTGACGTTTCAAAAGCATACAAGCTTCCATCGTCGGAGGTGAGTGTGGTATCGCGCCTCACAGTATTTATAGGTGGGTGAAAGTCATCTCAAAACGGGTT